ACACGGTGGGTGGAGGGGGCGCTGCCATGTGCGCGCATGCGTTGAGTCGGTCACGATGACCAGGGGCCATCTGACGTGGATGCAGCCAGGATGCTGAGCTGCTGCCACGCTCCAGGCGGTTGCAGCGCACAACCGCGGCCTGGCCCCACTTCTTACAATAATCTTTTTGTCACTTTGCAAGGCAGCCTTGACACAGCTCTTGCTCTCGATCCTGTGCACTCCGGCTCGGCTGCGTTGAGTGCAGTGCGGGTCCGCATTGGCGCTCCGTTGCGGCGGCCGCCCTAGCAGCATGCGCGTGCCCACATGCGGCAACAATATGGCAGCATCGCTGCTGCATCTTCGTCCGCGCCTGGATACAATATCTCACCCATCCTCCAAAACGCCACGAGGCGCGTGCATTTCGTAAATGATAATGAGATCGCCTGATGCTGACCGTCTGCCGCTGATGCTGCCAAGAATTACACATAACACATTCAGAATAAGTCAGTCATTCAGAGGGGCCGTTTCTCTCGTACACTTGACATTCATTCTGGTGTGCCAGCCACCCAGCTCCCTGCCCAACCATAATCACCGTAAGCACGCCAACCTCGATCACAATGAAGAATCCTGCGCACTCGTGATCAGCTTCACACATAAGAACTTGCAACAGCATGCAGGCGCTGAAGAACCTGCTTCCAGCGGGCGTGACCGCGGGACAGCAGCAACAACAGCAGCATCAGCAATCAAGCCTCTTATCGGACTGGCAATCATGTGAGCTGCTGATGTGAAGGCCGCTGGCAACACGCCGCGTCGGCCTTGACCCGCAGCGCTAGCCGCTGCTTGTGCGCCCCAGCTGCTGCACCCGTCTGGGCGTACTGCACCCAGAATGCATGCGTTTGCGTCCGCCAGGCTGCATATCTGACATCGTGCGTGCTCGCAGACCAGAACCAAGGAGATGTGGAGGCGGGGACGTCCACCGTGAGTGGGCGGGCGCAGGAGGTGGGCGGCAGCATCCTCACCTTTTTCAGATTGGGCTACACTGCCGTGTCGGACGGCATCAGCAACGCTTCGGTGCCGACGCTGGAGAGCACGTAGGTGGAGTGTGGGCTTGTTGAGGAAGCAGCGGCCTGGGCTGCGCAGGCGCGGCTGGTTGGCGCGGTGTCGCGGAAGCAGCTCTGCCAGGGCACGGCCAGAGTGAATGTACAGTACAAAACCACCGTATGCGTTGGGCGAGGCTGACAGATCTTTCACAGGCAGCTGATCACCCGATAAGTGATTGTCCAGGCTGAAAGCAGCTGTTTTGTCGACTGCACGCTCCGCAGCAGGCGGCATGGCCCGGCCAATCCCAAGCTTAACCGCCGCCAACCAACCCGGGACGCATGCTTGGCTGAGGCCCTCCACCTCACCCAGCGCGACCCGACCCTCATGCGCCCTCCCGTCAGCGGCATACCCACTGGCGAGCAGCTGGTCTACTTTTTCAGCTTCATGGGTGGCGGCCTCTTCTTCCTGTTCATGGCGTTCTTCATCTTCCTGCCCGTCATCATCCTCGCACCCTCAAAGTTCGCCCTCTCCTTCACCATCGGCTGCTGCCTCCTGCTGTCCGCGTTTGCCGCGCTCAAGGGGTGGCGGAAGCAGGCGGCGCAGATGTTGGCGCGAGAC